CTTACAGCTTGTTCCTACATGGTGACAATCGATTCCCTATGTCATGAAATCTCAAAAGAGGGATTCTATATGCAGCCTGGATAGCTCAGTTGGATGTGCTTCTTTACATAACAGTGGATGTTAGTTCAATGGATGGATAATACAGTGGTGCCTCGCAAGACGAAAAGAATCCGTTCTGCGAGTCTCTTCGTCTTGCGGTTTTTTCGTCTTGCGAAGCAAGCCCATTAGCGGCTTAGCAGGCTTAGCGGATCAGCTGATAAGCGGCTTAGCGATCAGCTGTTAAGCGGCTTAGCGGATCAGCTGTTAAGCGGCTTAGCGGATCAGCTGATAAGCGGCTTAGCGGCTTGGGAAAAAGGGGGGGGGGGAGGAAAAAAACCCTGCAGGAACTCGCAAGACATTTTCGTCTTGCGAAGCAAGCCCATAGGAAATTCGTTTTGCGAAGCACCTCCAAAACGGAAAACCCTTTCGTCTAGCGGGTTTTCCGTCTTGCGAGGCATTCGTCTTGCGGGGCACCACTGTACTCAGTCTGAGTTCCTCAAGAAGCTTGGATACAAGGCGACTTCCTATCGATCTTCCATAATGTTTACTGATTAAACGAGCTTAGTAAGAACATAAAGGTCCTTCTGGATTCAACTGAAGATCCACAAAGTCTAGTGTTCCGTTTCCTGAATTGGGCATTGCCCCTCTGATTCTGGGTGTTCATTCAGCTGTCTCAGCTAATGGCCATCAAAGATCTCCCTCTTGCCACCTGTGAATTTTGGCCCATTCTTCTTGAAACGTGGCATTATCCTGTGGAAGGGTCAACAATCCATAGGGTGAATAAAATACTTTCCTTTTGTCTGTTCTGAAGAGCCATCTGATCAACTTCATTCAGATTTCAAGTATTATATAAGAAGGGGATTCCCTGGCATCAACTCTCTTCAAGCAATTGTTATTTTTATACCTTAATTATGCCAACCCAACAGTCATATCTTCTAACCTAAAAAGCTTCAAACGTTTTATCCTTTATAGGGAAGGTTCTCTAGCCCTTTGTTTTTGTTGCTCTTTTCTATATATCTTCTGGTGCTGTCATCCTCCCCTGGAGATTTATTCATTTAAAAGATTTCTTACCCAACCTTCACTGTAAGGTTCCAAGGCAGGTGACAGCAATAGAATATACAATTATGAAAACCAGCTAAAACCATTCCAATAATTAAACCCACCCTGAATGGAACAGGACATTAAGAGAGGGGGTGGCCAGAGCTATATATTGTATTCCAAATGCAGTCACACTGTAGATATGAAATCTGTAGAAATAAAAACCTGTTTCATTACATCTTTCACTGCTGGAACGCTGTTGGAGTCGACACTTTCATTGCTCTCTCTACTGTGCCTCAAAGATCTTCTTCGGTAGTCACAGCCAGTTTAGATAACATCATTACATCTATAAAGTTCAATTTCCCCCATCCCACTATGCATCATTTTGCACTTGTTGAACCTCATTTCTCCTCTTCTTGCATCTTCACCCACTTTGAAGACACACTTCTGGAGTCTCGCAGACTGCTTTGGATTTCATGATTTATTTGCTGGCGTCAGAAAATTTGGCTATTCTACCACTCGCCCTTGACTTCACATTGTTTATATCATTGGCCCCAGTACAGAATCTTGGGCGGATTCCTTTGATTACCACTGTGAGAACTGTTTGTCCTTCCCGCTGTCCCTTAACCAGTTACAAACCTACGAGGCCAAGAACAGGAGCAAGAGAATAGGCACAAACAGCTTTTCTTCTTCTTTTTTAATAGTCTTCTTAAAATGGAAACTAGGGTGTGGGTGGAGAGGCTGCAGAGAATATCCTCGACCTGCACGCAGAAGAGAGTTCTTCCATATGCATAGAGTCTTAACAGGAATGCATGTTTCTTAACATAAATGCACAGGTGCATTTCTCACCATAACGATTACTGATAACCAGACTTATATTGACACAGTTTCAAGTAAACTTTTCTGTTCAGAGGTATTGTGTCGCTCAGGTGACGTCTTGCAAATCTTTCCCCTCACTTACTGCCTGTTGGTATGTTGTGATAGGTCATGAGAATACTGTTTTGGCATCGATTTTACACCACTCTTTCTCTGTTTACACTCGATCCTGTTTCAATTTACCTTTGTTGAGTGTTCCCCCTATTCATTAGCTGCTGATATTCATATGGGCATGGACATCTGAACCAGGGCTTGCACCAAAGGAACTGATGTCCATTAATTGCCTTGTTTTTCTTCCAACTCTAACATTCCCATTCTTTCCTAGCTGAAGCCCCATAATGGTGCATGTGAAGTTAAGATTTATTTATTTATTTATTTATTTATTTACTATTGGCCTTATCAAGCATCACTTTAACTTTCACAACATTGAGCCACATTTCCTATTTTAGTGCTCATGCACCCATTTCGGAGAGATCCTTTAGGAGATCTTCATGGTCCCTTTTTGTTTTTTACCCTTTTGAATAAAGTGACTCATCAGCACTGGTCCCAGTACAAGTCTCTTGCGGGAGCACTACCTGTTAATGATGCATTCTCAGAACTCTCCATTTAGTAGTGATTCTTGTTCTTTAACCAGTTACTAATACACAAAAGGATACGTCCTCTTCTTTCGTTATCATTTTGAGTGACGGACTTTCTGAACTACTTCTTTCAAAGTCCAAGTATATAGTGTCTACCAGGTCACCACTATCCAAATGCATTTTGATATTCTGAAAAGCAAAACAGCAAAACAACCCATCCTTCCAAATACAACTCTTAAAATGTTGGTGAGATGGCGTTGACCTTTGCAGAAACTATGCAAATTCTTATTCAACAAGACCTGTTTTTCTATATGTTGGATACTCCTTTTTCTTCAATACATTTTGAACCTGTTTCAGACTGTTTACTCCCAGATGGGTATATATTTTGACTGTCTTGTCTTGAAGGATGGTTTAAAATATTCTCAGTTTGGAGGGGAAAGTCATCCAGTGTGAAGATCATGTGCTTGCTGTTACCTTATTTGGATTGAGAGAGGAGGTAAGGTGGGTAGATACCACACCAGCTCAACCACCCTGTGTCAGAAGCTTATGCACTGCAAGTGCAACGCAGTATAAACTGGTTGATACTTGTCTTGACAGAGATGACCTCCCATTTTAATAATGTTCTTTCCACGGTAATTTGGTTACCAGTTAATGTTGCTACCAACCATTGCCTGTGTCTGCAGTTAAGGGACGTTTCCCCTTAATTTTGCATGCCTAAATTGGCCTGATGTGTTAAGAGAGCAGAGCTAGCCTTTTTGAGCCCGCTTCCTCTAGGAAGCCTCCAGGGATTAAGTGTATAGTATCTGCAGAGATCTCTTTACTGACTTCTATTATCCACAGAGGCTTTTCCTCTTCCAATCTACTCAGATATTGAAAGGAGTTGAACTCAATCAGTCACTCTTAAAGGCTTGGTGTACAAAACGGCAGAGTAGCTTCATTGCAAGATATCTCCTAATCTTTTAAACCTGATGGAGCGCTTCCAGCAGCTGCTTGGATGTGGGGAACAATTTGAAGAGGCTAGTGCTAATCCTGTATCAGTTGTTAAGAAGTTTCAGGTCTGGATTTCTTGCCAGTGACAAAGGAGTGAGGGACTAACACAAAAGTTACCCTGGCCCCCTTCGTGGTCAAGTTATGTGCTAACCTTTAACAAGCTTAAGGGAAGGAAGCAGGGAGGGCTGTGGTTAAGATTGCTTCCTTATAGTGATGGCACCAACCTCCAAAGTTTCATGCTTTTGTGTTTTGAGCATGCACACGTGTACCCACCCTGAGTTGGGCATTTTTGAATTACGCTTAGCACTGCTGCAGTTCACAGTGAGCATGTGTGCATCGATTTAGTGGGGAAATGTCATGTGGCAGAATGGGTTGGAACGAGTGCCGCAGCTTCCATTAAATTCCAATCTCCTTAAACTTAGCACACTAGTTCGAGGGTAATCGAGGCTGTTTGGGGCTGCTGTAAACACAGGTACTTCAGCCCCAATGTGAACTCTTAAAAACTGTCCTGCAAGCTTCCCTTGGAAGGAGGAAGAGCCTTCTGTGAAAGGTATTTCTTGGTTCACACTGTGGTGCCCACAGCCTGTTCCTCCCACAGCTCCTTCCGGTCCCTAGAGAAGCTTCACAAACATGCTTAATTTTTTTGTGTTTTCGTTTCTTAATTTAAAAATGTAAGAACAGGAATGCACACATTGCTTTGCCAAACAAATGCAGATGCACTTGATAGCCGCAGTGTTGGTTTCACAGTTAAAGAATGAGCATAGGAGCAAGGCTGACTGCTGAGCCAGTTTTAAGTTTACTGCTTCGTACGTTTGCCAAAGTTCAAAGCTGGAAGGAAGCAGGGTTTGGACAGCTGGAGAAGAACATCATGGTTTGGAACCTTAACCACAAGTAGAAGGGAGCTCATGGAACTTTCCCACATCAGCTGGAGGCACCTTGCGAAAGCAAAGCCCACCTGTGAGCTGTATCAGCAGCCCTGCACGTTCCAGCTCACCAGTTCTCATGATCCCAGTTCTCATGACCCCAAGACTATGTCTGTCCAACTTCCATAGAAATCCACGAAGCAAAGGGGTGTGAATTGACTAAAGCTGTCTGGATTGGGGGCTGTGGTCTTGTATGGATGCTGCTGCTTTTACGTTCCTGCATTTTTCTTCTTCTTCTTTCCTGTGTCAACTGTACTCTTATGCAGTCTTCTCCTCTCCCAAAACTTTTTAACGCAGTTGCTGCTCAGCGTGGAATAACCACAGAAATGATGGTAGCTTTGTTTTCTGTGTCTTGTTCCTCCCTCCCCTTTTCTCTTTTTCCAGTGGCTCTAAAATTTACAACCCAATACCCTTCTTTATTTTGCAGAAACAGCCAAATGCTGTTTTCAGCAACATTTTTCATACCTGGCATGAATCTTAAGTCACTCTTACAGCTCCTCAGCACTGTGGGTAGTTTTTTATTGCCTTTTTTGTTGTTGCTTATTTTGTCTTTCAGTTCAACTTTGTGGGGAAACTTTTGGGCCCACGTGGCAATTCTCTGAAGCGCTTGCAAGAAGAGACATTGACAAAAATGTCAATATTGGGAAAAGGATCCATGAGGGACAAGGCAAAGGTAAAATTGCTAGCTGAAGATCATTAGTGTGTGCTGTACTGCTGTGTGTGCCTTTTTTCACTGTTTCTAGTATAGTCTGGGGAGATTCAAAGCAAACACAAATCAAGGTGTATATTATAACCCCTCCTCTTGAGTTCTGCCTACATGCTGGTCCTCCGTCTATGGTATATATTCCTCACTTCAGAGGAAATCCCCTGTGGCAATACCTTCTTTATGGATGCAGGCAGCTGTATTGCTGGAGTATAATGGCAGGCTCATGGTGGTCTTTGAAACCAGCAGCCGCCCTCTTTACCTGATCACATCTAGCAAGGAAGTGGGTGATGTGATGTCACTGTGCTGCATGCTTCCCTGTCTACTCCACTTCAAGGTCTGCCACTTGCAAAGGGGTGGAGACAGTTGCGTTGCAGTGATGCCACATCGCACATGTTGTATTAGCGAGCTTTGCCAAGGGAGTGAGTGGGGTTGGGAGAGAGGAAATGTAAGGCTGTTATTTTCAGAATGAGGCACATTACTCCTTACTGTATCCAGGAGTGAGGAAGCCCATAAGTTTATTCCGCGGAGTATTGGGGATAAGAGTTGGAGGGTCCACGGAGGCCGTTCTAGTCCAGCCCCCCTGCACAGTTCAATAAATCCAGAGCTAGAGCTTGTAGCAAAATACAGGTGTCCAGCGGATGTGAAAACACCACTACTATTCCGTAGCAGAAAGTGTTAGTAGGAGAAGGGCTATAGCTTAATAGTAGAGCAACATTTCCATTATGCATGTGGTTCCAGGTTCAGTCCCCAGCATCTCCAAAGTAGAAGTGGGACTGTCCTCTGTCTAAAACCTCGGGGAGCTGCTAGCTGGCTGGATCAGTGGTCTGACTCTGTATAAGGCAGATTCCTATGTTCCTATATCATCCACTCTGTTCATTAGGAACCTATCAATCTCAGTCTCACCCACCCACTACCATTTTGTACCATAAAATGGGCATTTTTGATTTATTGTGATTGTTCCTAAGACTCTCCCAGGTGTGTTGAAAGCATTTACACCCCACCCTTCAGCCAAAAGGGATCTTAAGAGTGGCTTATCAGGCTTACAGTCTACAACCAGGAGCGAAATTATGCACCATCTGCACAAGTTTGCTTAATTTGAATAATTGTTCAATGTGTTCTGATATCTGCCTTGTTAGTGTCCATACTATGTGCTTGAATTCTGCACTGATTCAAATTGTAGAGGCTCTATGCTCGCAGAAGTATATATCAGAAGTACAGTGGTACCTCGGGTTAAGAACTTAATTCATTCTGGAGGTCCTTTCTTAACCTGAATCTGTTCTTAACCTGAGGTACCACTTCAGCTAATGGGGCCTCCCGCTGCCACTGCATGATTTCTGTTCTCATCCTAAAGCAAAGTTCTTAACCCGAGGTACTATTTCTGGGTTAGTGGAGTCTGTAACCTGAAGCGTCTGTAACCCGAGGTACCACTCTGTAGTGAATTGCCATTATGATTATTAGAGTGTGAGAGTGTCTTAAGCTCTCAATCGTGTTAAGTCCTACTACTCATTTGCTTCTCATGGAAGAGCTCCCCGTTGGATCGGTTGAAAATCCCGAATAGAGCAATGCTTGGAAAGTTCTCTCTTGTATCTATTACTGGTTTGCCACAATTATAGAACCGGATGTCTAAATCCCACTTCATTGGCTGGACATTTCAAATACAATGTTTTTCAGGGATTGTTATGCTTACCCTTCATATGAATAAGCCAAGTGTCTTTGCAGAAAACAAACAAACAAAACCACTCTTTTTTCAATTTACTTGGCCTGTGCACATTACCAAGACTTTATTATCTTTTTAATGTGCAGTTTTGTTTTGAATTCTGAGTGCTGCTTTCAGATAATATTGGGACATGCAGGATCGTTCACTAGACTTATCTTTTTCCACTGCTTTGTTTAGTCTTAAATTATTCAGGAGATCGGAGCTTGTACAGTTTCCCAAGGGAGATTATTAGAGTCTAACGGATCTCACCGTTAAGAAGGATTTTGTGATAGCTGCCTTAGATTTCTCAATTTTAAATTTCTTCTTGCTGGCCTTACCCCTTCTGCCTCCGGACGTCCTTAAATTACTCATAAGCAAAGAATTATCTTCATCTTTCAAAAGCTTACGTCATTATATGCAAGCAAGACAACCTGCTGCTAAAACTGTTGAATACAAATATTAAGCTTGAAGACTTTCCAACTTTATGCTATAAACAGGAGTGGGGAGCAGCCCAAAAAAAAAGGGGTAATATTGAGGGAGGCTTTCATTTATATATGTTTTGCTGTTCCTTTTATTACCAGCTTTGACAAGTTTCAGACAGCTAATTATGGCGTGTTAATTCCCCCTGCTCTGAATTTGCTAATCAACTAATCAGATTGCTTTGCTTTTCCATCCAATTTAGGCAGCCTGAATGCTCTAAATTTTACAACAAAAAGATTAGCGGCAATAAGCTGGTGCTGATTGTCATTTCTAAGTAACTCATAATTACGACACACCGAGAGCAAACACAAGAGCTTTTTAAAAGTCAGTCAGTCAAAACTTCTATTTGTGGACCTATTCAAAGTGAGAGATGCCAGCTCAAGAGTATTTTTAACACTTGCTAAATAGACCAAGGGATACTGTTATGATACCTTAACATGGCACAGACAAACATGCCATTTCTTTGTAAGTTGGAGAGCCACAGCGCATAGTGAAATATGCTCTGCTTAGTATGTCTGGAGTTGTACATGGTTTTATGTACGGGGCTGCCAGCCTTGACCCCACTCTGAAACAGTGTTCAAGACCAGTTTCCCACTTCTCTCAGTTTTATTTCTTAAAATCTACATCCATTTTTGTTGGTGTTGAAATGAAAAATCTACAAGCAGTATGTTACGCCGTTCCCAGTAAAGAAATAAACGCTATTGTTGCCTTACCTTGTTCTGATCTGACCCATGGGTGCAGCAAGAGATTGTAAAAAGATGGACCAGCCCATCTAACTGCAGTTATCTGATAGTGATTTCTAGGACCACGGGAGCATTTTCCCCCTGGTTCTGAGTTTGCTTATTTTGCCTCTCTTCCCTTGCGTAAAAGTGTGGAACAGACAGGGACATAGGGACCCTAACAGACTTAATCTTGCCGCCACCACCCTTTCAGTTCTCCATGGTTCACCTTTTGCTTAACCAGTATGGATTCTGAGGCTCAGGGGCATCTACAAAGCATCTGTGCATCTCTGTTGCCAAGCAACAGAGGCAAGAAAGATGAAGCAGAGCGGAAGTAAAGTACCTGGCAAAATGGAAAGCGGAAGAAAAAAGTTGGAGCAGAATGAAAGGCGCTGGGTGGGGAGTCATCGGCAGCCCAGGAGGAAAATAGGAAAAAGACTTCCCCAGAGCTGCCAGCTTCTGTTTTTTTAAGCTCCGTTCCTTGTGGATGAAGCAGAGGGCAGAACCTGGTGGATCAGCGGGTAGAGTCTGGCAGGTTAGCAGCAGAGCCAAGATACAACCTGACAGGTCATGGGTGAAGTGTGTTGCAATCTTGTCTTGGGTGGTAAAGCCTGTATTTCATTCTAGTTGAACTGCCAGAAGAGTAAGATGCTTGGCTGGTTGGCAACTTTATTGGGCAGCAGCAGGGCAGAAGAGAAATACCGTTTAACTTCCATTTCTGATTTCAAGAAAAACAGAACTACTGGTGTTAAAAGTAGAGTGTTTATATATATCTATATCTATCTATCTATCTATCTACCTACCTACCTACCTACCTACCTACCTACCTATCTATCGAAAGTATAGATTGGGTTGAGTAATTTAAAAAATTTCTTTTTGGGTTGAGTAAATTAAATTGAGTAAATTAAAAATACTGTACTTCTTTTCTAGGAAGCTTCAAGAAAAACAGAACTACTGGTGTTAAAAGTAGAGTGTTTATATATATCTATATCTACCTACCTACCTACCTACCTACCTACCTATCTATCGAAAGTAAAGATTGGGTAGAGTAATTTAAAAATTTCTTTTTGGGTTGAGTAAATTAAATTGAGTAAATTAAAAATACTGTACTTCTTTTCTAGGAAGCTTCCATCAAAACAAAATATAGTCTTAATTTTATTGGTTCAGCATGTGGTTGGCTACCATCTAACATACTTCTAGAGGTGTGTGATGAAGGGTTAATGGCTGGCCGAGCGCATTGAGAGGTGTGGATTTCTTTTCCAGGATACAAATTTTCCCTTAATTCTACACAGTGAGAGAGAGTCCATGTCGGATCACTTATTGGGGTTGGATGACTTTAATCTACTATTGTTTTTCAATGCCTTAGGGGTTTGCACATATGACATGGAAGTGATGACCATACCTTGTATTGTATGGGAGTTGTATTCCAACAACATCTGGAGACCCACAGGTTGAGAACCGCTGGTCTAAACCCTAATCCTTGGTTGCTTCTGGAGTGTATCGATTCCATTTGTTCTGCTTGTTTTGTTTTATGTACCACCCCCTACCTTTCAGAGCTGGGATGGCTAATAAGCTATATCCCTCCAGATGGAGGTGAACTACATCTTCCATCACCTCTGATTATTTGCCATGCTGGCTGGGACTGGTGGGAGTTGGAAGGCCAGCAGCTTTCTTGAGGGCCACAACTTATCCATCATTGATTTAGACTAGAGGAGGCCTTCATAAGTCAGCTTGCATTAATATGGGGGAAAACAAACAATACAGCTTTAGAAAAATCCAGTAACTCACATATGCACATAATTTAAGTTGGCTTTCGCTAACCCCGTGCTCCTTCAGAAGCTTTGGGCTACAACTGCCATCAGCTGTAGCCAGCGCAACCATGCTGACTGTGGCTGATTGGCATTGCAGTCCAGAACATTGGGAGGGTACCAGGTTGGCAAAGTTAGTCTAATGTTGTTTTTTCTCATTGAGCTGGATTGTAAGCAGTTAATATAGTTCCCAAACAAGGAACTATTTAATCAAAGCCTTCCACCTTGTCAAATAGTTATTTTCCAAGAAAACTGCTTGGAGGTAGGGAAACCCACAGTTGATGTAATAGATACAGTAGTTCAATGTATACTCATTAATGATTTTCATTGGCCAGCTTGAGCAAATAAATGCAGGATTCCGCTTGTTCGGGGCCTGTTGTTTTGCTTTAGAGATCAAGGAGGTTGCTCGATATTTATTTTCTAATGTCTGCTGCATGTTGGTCGAAAGTCAATGTAGACTCACCGCATTGGACTTGATCTGAAAGCTTAGCTGAAGCTACTTGTTTCACATATTGTGGATTAGAGTGTCTTGACTGTGGTTCCTACTAGATGTACATATTTAGGGTAAGACATGTGTGTTTGGTTGCACCAGTCATGCAGATGCATGCACTGTAATGTATAATGTGTGACCGTGTACAGTGATAGACAGACTTCAAACAGTCAATGCAGAACTGAATTAGAGGAGTCATACAACAATTAATACGGTAGATAAACTGTAGTGCTGAAATGCCTCTTCTGATAGTTGTTGTGTTAGGACAAAATGGAATTTCCACACTTGCTAGTCTTGTTAAGAACAAAATATACTGCCTTATACCAAGTCAGACCGCTGGACCATGTAGCTTAGTATAGTCTGTACTGACAAGAGGTCTCAAATGTTTTAGAAAATAGTTTTTCACATGTGCCTTTCCCTTTGTCTTGAATAAAACAGATCATTAACAGGCCTAGGAACAATCCTTTGATTCAACCATAAGGTGCCAATCCATACTGTAAATTTATTTCCAGCCTCGTTTCGGTTGTACGTTTACAATAAATAAAAAATGAACTGTCTTGAAAATGGAAACCATTAATGAAAGGTTTGCTCTCTTTTTGCTTTCTTCCCCCCATACGATGAGTTTATATGTAACTTTTCTGTATTCCCAGGAAGAAGAGTTGAGAAAAAGCGGAGAAGCAAAATACTTCCACCTAAACGATGACCTGCATGTGTTAATTGAAGTGTTTGCCCCACCCGCAGAAGCATATGCCAGAATGGGGCATGCGCTGGAAGAAATCAAGAAGTTCCTCATTCCCGTTAGTACATATTGGAACCTCTTTTATGTCAATATTTACTGCACATGAAGAATCACCTTAGCTTTCCTGAATTTTTCCTCCCCAACCCACCCCATAAAATTTTCTGGTTGGAATGTAAATTTCAATTTGAAGGACTCCCTTGGCCAAAACTTTGGTGAACATCTTGGACGTCGTATTTCCGCTAGACACTCCTGGTAGAGACGGGATTTCCTTCCATTACAATAGCATAACAATGTTTTCCCCACCAAACCTACAACGCCCTAAGCTGTCACCAGGAAGAATTCAGGCATGTGTGTTGTGCACCATCTGCTCATGGCTAGAAACATACTAGAGCTGTTCTGCCATCATGGAAGACTCAGAGTAGAAGATACTGCCCTGTGCAAAATCAAAAGCATCCCTTGAAATTTCTGCACGTTCTACTGTTTTCTTTTCAGTAGACAATGTGCCTCATCCCATTGCAGTTTTGGGGGACTTAGCATCTACGTGTCACAGTGCTCCATCTATGTCCCTGTCTGTTCAATGATGGAACATACTAGTGTGGGTTCTGTGGATTGTGGTTAATAATGTCTACCCACATTGGGTGGAATTTCCTGCTCATACAAAGCTTGCACCAGGACTTTAGCATCAATGCGTCAGCTTCCAGATAAGAAATTTATTTGCTACTTAGTAGTGTTTCCTGCTTAGGGGACGCGGGTGGCATTGTGGGTAAAAGCCTCAGCGCCTAGGGCTTGCCGATTGAAAGGTCGGCGGTTCGAATCCCCGCGGCGGGGTGCGCTCCCGTTGTTCGGTCCCAGCGCCTGCCAACCTAGCAGTTCGAAAGCACTCCCGGGTGCAAGTAGATAAATAGGGACCGCTTACTAGCGGGAAGGTAAACGGCGTTTCCGTGTGCGGCTCTGGCTTGCCAGAGCAGCGATGTCACGCTGGCCACGTGACCCGGAAGTGTCTCCGGACAGCGCTGGCCCCCGGCCTCTTGAGTGAGATGGGCGCACAACCCTAGAGTCTGTCAAGACTGGCCCGTACGGGCAGGGGTACCTTAGTGTTTCCTGCCAGGCTTAGTCTTGTTGGAGCTACCCACTTTGTTGGAATAGGATTTCTGTTTTACCAGACTTTGTCTTTCTGATTTTGAAATGATTGATAGGTTAACCAGTTTTTCATTAGGAAGTTCCTGTAAGCTGTCATGATGATGATGCTAATAAAAATAATAAATAATTTTATTATTTATACCCCACCCATCTGGCTGGGTTTCCCCAGCTACTCTTGGCTGTTCTCAACAAAATACATTAAAATGATGGTTTGGGAAAGCAGACTAGAACTTTTTTAATGAACGTGAGCAAACCTGCTACCAAACATGGCCTAGCTGTAGCCCCAAGCCTCAACTTAAAGAAAATTCACAGAAATTTTGCGCATTGGGTATTTGTTATGTGGCATCCTTAAGAACTTTGTTCCCCTTTAAAAATTCATACTCCTAGGTACTATTGGGCAATGCTTATTAATAGCCAACATGCGTGCATCAGTAGATTTTGGCAAGCAATAGCTGTGCTTCAGTACTTGGAGTTGTATTAATGCAATTAGTATGTTGTTGTGGTTTGTGTCTGTGATATATGAGTGTCTACTTCGAGCCATTTTAACACCTGGTGAACATAGCTAAGAGCTTACGATGGGATTGGCACAATTATAATCCCTCCCCCAATACATTCAGTGAATACTGTATTGAAGGTGTGAAAATGCTTTTGTTTTGTTTTTTAAATTATTATTAGACTAGGATGCGCTGATGAAGTTGTTCATAGGAGAGTTGTGTTAGGTTGTGAACCCATCACCAGAATTTCTGGTAATTATCTGTGTAGAGCCTTCAGCTGCAGTTCAGATATTCCATTTGGTAGCAAGTAAAGAGGAGGTTTGCACAGACCTACGTTTGCTCATTTTTTATTTAAAAATGCGCAGTAAACAATGTGTATGCAGCCATACATAGGAAACTAGGGAGATTATTTTAGATCTCTGCATTGCCTTCTCTCTCAGCTTCACCCAATAGTCTTAGAAGACATTTGTTTTAAGAAGAAGGGAAAAAATCCAGTCTGTTCCAGTTGTTTGGTTAATGAACTGTTTAAAACCCTAAATTCTGCCAGGATTACTAGCATTCCGAATAAATCTCTTCAGTGGGAAAGGAAACCCACACAGAGCAAGGTTTGGAGTAAGATGAAAGGAGCTATATTGGACTCTGTCATCCCTGTTACTCCTTCACACAGCGCTATCTAACTCAATTATAGAATCCCCTGGAATAGAAATTGAACTCTGAAGTGCTAACATTAGCTCGCTTATCTTTTTTTGTGTGTCCTGGGCAAGGAAGAGTGTGTCCTCTTTGAACATGGAGGAGTGCTCATTGCTTTGAAGTCCTCCATACGGTTGAGAGGAATCCTGTGAACTATGAAATAACTTTGTTTTGGATTTTGTAATACTCTTTGAAAAGGGAACTCTGTGGAGAGTAGGGAAGTTTACTGCCAGAATCTTATTTATGACTTAGAGCTCCTGGCTGGGAGTCTTTTCAGTATTGGGTATTTTTAAGTCAAACCACTCTCAAACTGACAGTTCAGAGGAATATGAGTAAGGAATTCAGGCAGGTTATCCATCTAGAAATAGTTATAGTGATAATAATAATAGTAGTAGTAGTAATAATAATAATAATTAACCTTATGCTAAACATGACTACTACCATATTATATCTTCTTTTGGGTAGATTTGTGCTACAGTTAGGGCTTCTTTTAGGGACGCGGGTGGCGCTGTGGGTAAAAGCCTCAGCGCCTAGGGCTTGCCGATCGAAAGGTCGGCAGTTTGAATCCCCACGGCGGAGTGCGCTCCCATTGCTCGGTCCCAGCGTCCTGCCAACCTAGCAGTTCGAAAGCACCCCCGGGTGCAAGTAGATAAATAGGGACCGCTTACTGGCGGGAAGGTAAACAGCGTTTCCATGTGCTGCGCTGGCTCGCCAGATGCAGCTTTGTCACGCTGACCACGTGACCTGGAAGTGTCTCCGGACAGCGCTGGCCCCCGTCCTCTTAAGTGAGATGGGCGCACAACCCTAGAGTCTGCCAAGACTGGCCCGTACGGGCAGGGGTACCTTTGGGACTTCTTTTAACTTGGTCTGCATAAGTGCATGTTTAATTTGTAAATCCGTTGATGCATAGACATTATGTCAAACCCATAGATTCATGAGGGTTCCAGATTCTGTTGACATAACTGTGCTTTTCCTCATACAAGGGTATTTTTTCTTGGGGGGTGTTTGTGTGTAGGGGTATTGGAATTAACGATTCCATCAATAGCAATCGATGATGACAAGTAATTGGAAAATCAATCCATTGGTAGAAGCAGTAAAAGGGTAAAGGGGACCCCTGACCATTAGGTCCAGTCGTGGCCGACTCAGGGGTTGCGGTGCTCATCTCGCTTTACTGGCCAAGGGAACCAACGTACAGCTGGTCATGTGGCCAGCATGACTAAGCCACTTCTGGCGAACCAGAGCAGCGCACAGAAATGCCGTTTACCTTCCCGCCGGAGCGGTATCTATTTATCTACTTGCACAGAAGTGTGCATGCACACGAAAGCTCATACCAAGAACTAACTTAGTTGGTCTTTAAGGTGCTACTGGAAGGAATTTTTTTTGTTTTGACTATGGCAGACCAACACGGCTACCTATCTGTACTTGCACTTTGACGTGCTTTTGAACTGCTAGGTTGGCAGGAGCAGGGACCGAGCAACGGGAGCTCACCCCGTCGTGGGGATTCGAACCGCCGACCTTCTGATCGGCAAGTCCTAGGCTCTGTGGTTTAACCACTTCTGCAAAAAAGGAGAAACCCGTCTCTGTCACGCCTTGCCTGTGAATTCTCAAAGGCATGTAGAAAATACAATGTTGTGCTGGATAGACTTTGATTTGATTCATCAAGACATTTCTTATGTTCTTGACACTTGCCTCAGCTCCCTGACCAAGATTCAAGAGAAGATAGTGCGTCTCAATCTTGGCATCAGTTTAATAAGGCCAGAGATAAAATAATTTAAGTGACTTCTTGCATCCTACGAGGAATGTATTTCAAACTTTCCCATTAAATCAGCTCAGTAAAAGTAAGTCTGTGCCAGTCCTGTGCCCCTGTCTTTAAGACTGTGTATGGAAAATTTGTAGCAGGAACAAATCTAAAATGTCTTAGGTATGTGGTATAAGTATCTGCAGACATGACTGAATACCGTATTTCTTCTTTCCTGTCTAGGACTACAATGATGAAATCAGACAGGCACAATTACAGGAATTAACTTATTTGAATGGTGGCTCAGAAAATGCAGACGTTCCAGTAGTTCGCGGAAAGCCTCCTTTGCGGGCACGGGGAGTGCCAGCTCCAGCATTGGCAAGGTAGCGGGTGTTTAATTTCTGCACCTTTTTGCTTCTGCAGAAATGCTTAAGCAGCTCCATTTTTCAAGTCTCCTCATGCCACTCACTCAAGCCACACTTCCAGGCATATTTATATTCTTGCAGATGGGGAACTGTGGCTGTGTGACCTTGTCTTTAATGCATTGCCACTTGGTGTGTTTGGGGTAGATGCAGGCTTGAACCCAGGTAAACCCATAAGTCATCAGTTTCTGTATTTGTTTAAAGAAACAATTAAAAATTGTCTTTTTTTTTAAAAAAAAGTCAGTAGTAACCAACATGGGGATCTTCCAAAATTCGCATCATCCAAAAACTCTTGGAAGACACAAGGTTGCCTGCCCCTGCCCTACACATTTAGCCACATGCGTGAAACCATTATCTGTGCGACTCTACAGCCTCTCTGTAAGGCTTTTGCAGAAAGAAACCAGGTTTGCTGGTTGATATATACAGTGGTACCTCGCAAGATGAATGCCTCACAAGACGGAAAACTTGCAAGACGAAAGGGTTTTTGGTTTTTTGAGTTGCTTCGCAAGACGAAGTTCCCTATGGGCTTGCTTCGCAAGACGGAAACGTCTTGCAAGTTTGTTTCCTTTTTCTTAAAACCGTTAATACAGTTGCGACTTGACTTCGAGGAGCAACTCATAGCACGCGGTGTGGTAGCCTTTTTTGAGGTTTTTGAAGACTTTGGTGATTTCTGAAGCTTTTCCAAAACTTTTCCGAAACCGTGCTTCGCAAGACGAAAAAACTCGCGGAACGAATTAATTTCGTCTTGCGAGGCACCACTGTACTAGAAAAAAGCATGGAATGAATGGGGTCATACCTTCCCTACAAAGTGTTTTCCTCTTTACCAGCACTTTGAGTGTGTTACTTTTGGGAGGAAGTGCCAGCTGGTGGGGATTGAGGGGGCAAATGGACAGTTCTCACAATGGAGGAATGTAAGAAGTAGAGTCTTCCAAAGATCTGTATTGGGACCTGTGCTCTTCCTGTCCGTAAATGATTTAGAGCAGGGTTTCCCAAACTTGGGTCTCCAGCTGTTTTTGGACTACAATTCCCATCATCCCTGGCCACTGGTCCAGCAAGCGAGGGATGATGGGAGTTGCAGTCCAAAAACAGCTGGAGAGAGACCTGAGTTTGGTAAACTCTGATCTGGAGTTAGAGATGAGCGCTGAGAAGCCCATGTTTGCAGATATCCCCAAATTATTCAGGGTGGTAAATACAAAAAGAGAGCGGAAGAGCTCTGAAAGGATTTATCCAAAATGGCGAATGAGGATTTAAATTGCAAATGTCATTGGTTTGTGAGTGGTGCAGGGAGGGAAGGAATTACTGATTTCACATATGCATTGATCTTTGATCTTTGATTTTATTGTTATTCACATTTTATACCGTATTTTATGCTGGTTTTTTGTAGCATCAATTAAGTGCTTTAAATTTGTTGTTAGCAGCCCTGAGCCCGGTTTTCTGAACTGGGAAGGGCAGGGTATAAATTTTTTAAAAAAATATTATCTATTTTATTATTATGGAAGGGGTCTGGGCTGGTGGTGACTGACTCTCTGAAGGAGATTTGGGATTAGTGGTGGAAATATCAAGCCAGGTTGCAACAGCTGTGAGAAATGCAAACTTTGTGCTAGGAGTTATGAAGAAAGGGGTTGTAAAGGAAACTACCAGTGTCACAATGCTTGTATACAAATCTGTGGGGCAACTATACTTGGAATCTTGTGTTTGCCCAGTTCTTCTTGTTGCATTCCAAAAAGGATACTGCAGAGCTGGTAAAACGTGCAGGAAAGGGCAGCCAGAATAACCGGAGCAATATCTTTTACAGCAAAAGGTTGCAACTATGTTTGGGGCTCTCTAATTTAGAGGGAAAGGACACAATATGGGTGTACAGAAAATGGAGGTAGAGAAGCCCCCCAGTGATACTTGGAACAACTTCAGATGGCACACAGATAAACGGTGAAATTCGCTCTCATAAAATATAGCTATGGTTGCCAACTTAGATCCCTTTCAAGCAGGATTGGACAAATTCATTGGGGATCAGTGGCTACTGGTCCTGATTCTTTATGCTGCCTTCAGGACCAGAGACATTGTGCTCCTGAATACTGTATTGTTTGCTGGAGCAGCAGTGAGAACATGCTCTCGTTCTGCTTGTGTTCTTGTTGACCCCATACGAAAGGGACATCTGGTTTGACCACGTAGGAAAGAGAATGCTGGACTTAGGCCTTTCATCTGACCCATTTTTATGCCCTTCCATGGACTGTAATCCCGCGTGAATTAGGGATGCCTAGACCCCTTGATTTAAGCATGCTTCTTTGAAAGTGGCCAATTGGTACAGCACACGATGCCAAAAAAGGCTGCCCAAAGTAACATTCTGTATAGGCAGATTCTTTAAATCAACTCCTTCACAAGCTGAAAAAGCAGGCCGGCTTTTTCGGTCTGACTTCTCCTCCTGGTATACTGTCAGCATCTTGTCATGCTCTGTGACTGCCCTAGTTTACCATTCAGTATGGCCCATCTGGTGTGGACGTCACTCGTTGGAACATGAGGTTTTAGCTGAAATCATCCCAGTTCCAATCTTAGCTTTGCCACAAACTTTTTAAAATGTCCTTAGGAAACTCAGTGTCTCTTTCCATCTATGACATGGGGGATAATGTTAACCTGCTGATGTAGGTTGCTGCCCAACTCCCATGGGATTCTGAGTCCCCTAAGTCCATGATCGGTCAGAGAAAAATGGATGGAGACTGGAAAGCAAGAAAGATGTTTATTTTTCTGTTGCAACAGAGTTCCTTCCCCTACTTCCAAGGAGGGAGAGACCCTGAACAAAAGGGTGCAGGAACTTTTAAAGACTTTGGACATTGCCCAACCCCCTTAGCCGAAGACCACCCCAAAGCCATTATACAAGCATCATAGGAGGTGGTGCACAGCAGAAATCCTGTCTGCCAGGATACCCTGATAATGGCCGTTGGTTGCATTACTTGGGCAGCCTGGCCATTGTTTTGTGGTGGTTAATACTTTAGCTCCTGAATCCAGGTCACAGGCTCACCCTATTCATACACAAATACGCCTTTAAGACAGGATTTGTAATGGAAAAGACAATGGGAAGGTTTTCTCTATTTGCCTCCCATTCTGCAGAGGAATATTTGAGGTCATTGGGTGAGTCAAAATGGCTTCAGGTTTGCTCTCCTGTACTATTTCAGACACATGGTTTATATATTTAGATATGTGTGCATTTATGAATATTTATTCTATATTTGACACCTTACAATGCTTATAACACCTACCATACAAGGTTGCTCTAGAGATTATATATATATATATATATGTGTGTGTGTGTGTGTGTGTGTGTGTGTGTGTGCGTGCGCACGCGCACTATATCTTGCATTGAGGGCATTTAGGCTTTCTTCATTAAATGAATGTCAGGGTTGTCAAAATGGTTGATGCTGGACTAGACCAGATGATTCTTTGCCTGGTGTAGTAGGGTTGTTGTTTTTTTTGCACATGTGCTTCTGCAAGAGGAAGAAATTTTGAAATTCAATATGCGCAGACGTGTGTGTATGTGCATGTGTGTGTTCAAAATGCCTTACTGGAGAAGGAAAACCAATTTTATTTTAACACCATCTCTGTTTAAATTGCTAATCAGAAATGGCTCTCTGAAACAAAAGATTGCAGCTTTCCCTGATGCATTTCATCATGCAAAACACACGTCAGTCACCATGCATGCAGCTCTTGGTTTTTCCTTTATTGGAACTTCTTATGCTGAACTCTCTACCTTTTCTTACCCCCACCCCAGCTTCCCAGCAAGAACCCAGAAACAGACTATAGCCTCACTGTTTATGCAGAGGTTTGCATGATGAAATAAAGTGGGAAGGGCTGCAATTGGGCATTTGAGATTAGAAGCGTTGTCAACACCTGTTGAGAATGCAGGGATCTCTCTGCACTGTGTGTCTGTTTATATCTACTCCTCGTCTCCGAGATACTTCTCTGCTAACTTGTTTAGAACTCTTGGCAGATGTAATGCTTCTTTCCTAATGATGGCTACGTAATCGGGAGCACCATTAAGCCTCTTCACACAGCATGTTCTGCCCGTCTTTCAGTTTCACACTTATTGTTAATTAGCATTACATCACACAAGCAGTTTCTATCTATCTATATCTATATTAGTTTTTTTGACATATCATTTCCAACAGTCATACAACATAACTTCTTATCTTATACAATATTTTGACTTCTGTCAACACCTCTGATGATTTTCCGTTCTTATCACTTATTCTGCATTTCTTAAGTTCCCTATTACTCTTAATTATCATTAACAAATAATTCTCATCGTAGTCTTTCTTGTAATATTTCAAATAGTCATCCTTACAAAACTTCTTGCAATCCTACTAGCGTAATCTGTTCATTACTATTACTTTTCAAATAGTTCATATATTTACTCCAGTCTTCTAAGAATCTCTGGTCCCGCAGGTTTCGAATCCTTCCTGTTAATTTATCTAATTCTGCATAGTCCATCAATTTCGTCCTCCATTCTTCTTTCGTCGGTAGTTCTTCTTGCTTCCATGATCACACAAGCAGTTTCGCTAACCATAGTCGGCGACAAGTCGCGATTTGCAACCATATTCATAACCTTATACAGCAGCAACACACGCATTAGCTGTCGCTGTAAGAAGACAGGAAGCGCTCTGCTGGGTTTGATCAAATGCCCATCTAGTCTAGCATCCTTATCTGTCAGATGCCTATGAAAAAACCACGAGCAGCCCTCATTCAGCAGTAGAGCATCTGCTTTGCAAAAGGAAAGTCTCTGGTCCTATCTCCAGTTAGATAAGGTTGGGAATGTCTCCAGTGTGCTGCCAGTCAGTGCAGACAGTAGTGAGCCTCCTGGACCAATGGTTTGACTCAATACATTCCTCTGAGCACAATAGCACTTCCTTGCTTGTGATCCCTAGAAACTAGCAGTGAAAGGTATACTGAATCCCTGACAACATAAGTGTGTC